TCATCCTTATTGTCAGTATCCCATATGGCTTTCTGAAATTCACGCCAATACTCCTTATAAGCAGAATGTGGTAACTTAACACGGAACTTTGATGTGATATGCCATATGCAAAGCCGATGAAATGTAGTCGGGAAGGCTATTGAAATCGCTCTGGTGATGGCCGCATCTTGATCTGTAATGATCGTTTTAGGTTCGCCACCTTGCATGGCTTTCTTAAACTCCTCAAACATCCAAATAAACGACTCAGTCGTTTCCTTGCTCAAAAATGTGCATGCTAAGACAATTGTCTGACCATGGTTATTAACTCCCAATATTGGTGCAAATGTCAAGTCGTATCGATTCGTGTTGAATGTGGTATCGAATACAACAACATCTCCATACAACCGGTATGCCCGTCTAGAAGTTGCATCTGCCCAAAAACATCGACTAAACTTGTCTTCGCCATCTCCCTCAATCTTGAAATAAAAAGCCTCATTTTTTTTTTTCTGTTCAGCCATAAAATACTCGGTCACTAGTTCAACATCGTGGTTCCTCAACTTCCCATTCACACTACATTCAAGATTGTATATATCCTTTTTGATAAAACCGATTTTATCCATTCCTCCGGATTGCACCTCGAAAATACTTACCTTCTGATGAATGGGGATATTAACCGAACCCAACTGTTTTGTAAGTACTTTTGTAGAATCCGAAATACGACGGTGTGATCTCAATAAATGCACTCTTTCTGAGTCTGTCATCTTATGATTGTGTCCCTCTGCAAAAAGAGAGATGGCATACTTCTTGCTCCCATTTGTCTTCACAACCACAATCTTAGCTTTGCAATTGCATCTACTTATTCCCCGCTGTCTTTTTCTCTCCCGAGTTTCATCTTTCCTGTATGCACCTTGTTTGCAACAAACAAATTCTTTCCTCAGAATCTCTTTCTTATATGTCCCCCGAAAGATGGAATGAAGTCGAATACCAAAGCCAGCCAAGAATGCATATCTGTTATAGAAATTATAAGCGAAGTCAAGCGAGTCGAACTTCATCCCAACCGCTGGTGTTTCCTCATTTCTTACTTCAGGAATGTAAACCATCCCATTAGCTGTTGCACAGTCATCACTCTCTGAGCCCCCAGACATTTTACCCACATATATTTTTGAATTACTTCTATATCACTGCATAGCAAATATTAATTCATTAATCAATCATTACTGCATTACAACATATCAATGCATTCCACTTACACAGAATATTGCCCTAATTGACACAAAAAAGACGCATAGCCTAGCTTGTTTGTAAGAGCCATTATTACACAAAATTTAATAATAGTTACGTCATCTCTTGTGCAATAATCTGGAAAAAATAACATTAGAACCAACATGTTCAACTAAGAACACAAATGTAATTCAAACCAGCAATTACAGAACTTCTCCCAATATCCTCTCCAAATGCTTACTCCTAATGCCATTAAGCCTAAGTTTAGGATCTTTTACCTACATTTTATAATTTCCCACCCCCACCAAAAACAATCAACTAAATATATTGAATATTCATAAGGAAATGACGCATTATTGACAGAAAACTGACGCATTATTGACGGCAGAATAACACATTATTGACCGCAGAAATGACGCATTATTGATGCCACAAATGACGAATTTCTCACCCTCACAAAAAACAAACCAAACCCAATAAAATCAATCCAGCAACAGTAAACTTACCTCTCAAACTCAAGCGGGAGCTCCGAAGTCAATCAGCTTAAGAGAATGTGGTGGACATTAGAGAAGACTCTTTGGTAGTGGAGACTCCATCTCTACCACAATCGAGGAACAAATACTGCTGCAGCGTCTAGCTACAGAACCAGATATGCTACTTTGCTTTCATCTGGAATCTCGTGTGCTGAACGAAAAAGAGAAGGGGTTTTCACTTCAGCCATAGAATCAAAACAGGGCAATAGCTAGATAAGAGCCATTAATCGTCATACCGAGGATGCCATAGATCGCAGGCCTCCCAAGGAGCTGATGACAATGGAGCGACTATAGGGTTTGGGAGCTTTGGATCTTTCTAATTCTGGGTTTGCGTTACATTCAAAAACAGAGGATTGTGTTCTTGAATTTTTCAGAGAGGGAAATATCTTCAACTGAAGTTGGGTTTCCAACGGGTCAGATTTCAACCCGGTTCTACATGCACCCTCTTTTAAAAACTCACCGTTGGATGAAATCCAACGGCTCTAACATACCCCTCAAAAAAACCCCTTATAACTTTCCCCTCACTATAGAAGCTCCCATATAAGTAACGATTACTTTTGTGTGGGAAAGGTGCCCAATACCTCTTGGTAGTAACTGTGACCTTGGTTTTCAGAGCTCTTGGGAAAGGCCCAATATCTCTATACAAAAGAGGCATCACACACAATGATTCTAACCCTAGCCGCTAGACACTCTCCACATCTCTCTCCGTCTCTCTATCTTCATCTCTCTCTCTCACCCACTCTTCAAATCTATCGTTGTAGATCCAAGTCCAATAGACAATCCTAGTGTGCGAATTAGGGTATAAAAGAAGATCCAAGTCCAATAGGTGTGTATGCCTCTGAATCCCTTGCCTCTCCTCTCAATTTTGGCTTCATCGCCTGGTTTTTGTTATCTTGTCTGTAATTATTTTCCCTCTGTAGCATCAAAATCATGTTTTAGTGCAGGTGGTAGATTTGTATCCGAGAAGAGGGCTAGTTTGAGTCCAAATACAATTGAAACATTAATTTTCTTGAAAGATTTGGCCTTAGCAAATTCAAGGATGCAAGATGCGTCACAAGATGAGCAACACGCCGAAGAATTAATGAACATTAGAGCATCAATACCAGATTGGATGGCAGCCAGTGAAAAGGTTGAAAGTGAATCTGAAAATGAGACAATTCAAAGCTAAAAACTTTTTTGTTTAGAAGACTTTAATTTTAATTTGTATATGACTCTGTTTTTGCATAAATAGTCTATTTGCTTTAATAGACTATTCGTTTGGAAGGGGCTTGAATAGACTATTTGTACAAGACTTTTGTATCATACTATACTTTTAACTGTACTTTGAATGAAAATCATATAATTTTTGTTAAGTTTTTTTTTATTTTAATACAATAAAAAATAGCCCATTTTGGCTCGGGCTAATTGGGACAACCCAGCCCGATCCAATGTGGCCCATGAATCCCAGTCTATGGGGCGAGCTCAAGCTTTAACTTTATGATGAAAGCTCAGCTCACCCCGACCCGTATATTTCCTTTAGCTTGTTAAAGTCCGGCCCAGCCCCAGGCTAACGGAACCTTACCCAAATTCCACTTTGGAATTTGTGTCGAACCCTATGCGTGTCCTACACCTAGTAGGTGTCGGGCATAAATGTCCAGAATACCCCCCTTGCCTTGAATTGAATGCTCAGTGTGGCCCATGGAATCCCAATCCATGGGACGGGCTTGGGCTTTAATTTTATGATGAAAGCTCGGCTCGACTCGACCTGTATATTTCCTTTAGCTCGTTAAAGTCTGGCCTAGGCTCAAGTTGATGGAACCCGACTCAAATTCCACTTTGGAATCTGTGTCGAACCCTATGCGTCCCCTACACCTGGCAGGTGTCGGGCATATGTCTAGAATACCCCCTTGCCCTGAACCGCAAAATGAAAAGAATACACTTAAGGGTTTAACTTCTGCTGGAAAACCACAGAGCTTTCCCAGAAAATGGACATTTCCCAATAAATTTTTCGCTTGTAAAAATATACAGTTAAAGTTGAAATTCAAATCTCAATCGTTCAGCATGCATTAGACAAATAACTTTAAATAGTTTCAGACCTCTTTATACCAAACAAATCATTCTGCCAACTGAAATTGGTCTCAACTCTTAGAACAACATGAATACGTTATCAAGTTCCAATATAACTTAACTGAACAAATTTTCAACTCTTATAGCTACACCTAGTAACTCTAGGTTGCCTACGTACCCTTACTAAGGAATCAAGCCATACGTAGTTCTTTCTACATAAGTTATAAGTAAACATAGGTAACTTAATCAAATAAAATCGAAAAACCTTCATAAGTAATTCAGATCAATCCGCTGAAACTCAATCAAGGGCTATTGATGCTAGAACAATCTTCTACTCATCCCACATGTGCATATATATATATATATATATATATATATATATATATATATATATATATATATATATATATATATATATATATATATATATATATATATATATATATATATATATATATATATATATATATATATATATATATATATATATATATATATATATATATATATATATATATATATATATATATATATATATATATATATATATATATATATATATATATATATATATATATATATATATATATATATATATATATATATATATATATATATATATATATATATATATATATATAGAATATCAACAATTTAAATAAAATATGTTTACATCTTTCACATGTAAAAACAAATTCATCACTTAAGTAAATAATTGCGAATTATATAAAATCCTTAAAACTTAGAAAACTCTTAATCATTGTTTCATAAGTTGGAAAACATATATTACCTTAAAGAGCTAAACAAAAATTCCTTCTTAAAACGGGAGCAATTCCAACATTTCTTAAATGACTTTGACCATGCATAATCTATCAAAATTGTTTTCGTCAACATTTAAATTTGTAACACATACTATCTAGTAAACTGGTATTCATGATTTATTAGTTTCAAGCCAATGAGCATATATTAAATATAAGCATATAATTAGACATTTAATTAATTTCTTATTCACGCCAAAATCCGGTTAATAAGCCATTCCCAACTTTACACAATCAAACATAATATAATATCCACAGTAACTCATAAACATTTAAATAATCCAACATCACTCAGTCATATACTAAATAATAATAAATAAATAAATAACCCCTAGAGATCCCATAACTTCTAATATTGCTTAACCTTCGAATATCAAAATAACACCCAGTAATACCATAAAATACTATAACGTAATCTCATAATTCAACAGAATCAAAATAATTCACATAACAGTCAAGCCTCATTTATAAGATCGTTCTTGTACTTCTCGAAGGATGAAACTACCTTGGAAGACTCTCGGTCATCTGAGGAATCAAACTTCCCTTATTGGTCAACGGGGCCCACGGTGCCCACGACCTCCGATTTCCGATCTAAAAGTTCCGATAGGTTCAACCAAGTCTATTAAACACATTCTGCAAGTTTAATCTCGATCGAGAGGTCGGATCGCTCGCGATCGCACAATCGGACAGTTACCATTTATCCTAAACTTTGAATTATTGAGTTGGAGCATCCGACACTCCGATTCACGATCCGCAAATTCCTATACGATTCCGATTCACGATCCGCAAATTCCTACACGATTCGAGAGATGCCTAAATCAACATATTTGAAAATGAAGTTGATCCAATGGTTCGAGTATATCAAACCCGGATAAGGCCTAATATGCGATATCCGATCTACAGTCAAACAATAACCAAATTCAAATCCGAGCATACCGTTGTGCTCGAGATGACATGTGGATCATTTTAGGACCAAGAGGGACACCCAAACGGTGCCCATGGGCCGCCACACGCATCGGCATTGCGTGGTTGTCTTGAGAAATTCTGATAATCGGAAAATCACCAAACCGTCGATCAAGACCTATACCTACATGATCAGGATAATGAGTGGAGCAACTTTTGCTCTTGGACCATGGCCAAAAAGTGGGCGGAGATAGCCGGAATTACGAGTCGAAACCGGCCAGAACTTTAAGCAATAAATTTAGTTTCAAAATGTAGAAATTGATCCTAAACAACCCAACCTTCAGCTAGAACACATTGAGATTATGAAAAAGCACACCTAGATCGAAGAATTTGGTGCCCGGAATCGCTAGAACAAGTGATAGAATTTTTGGGTCAAAACCGGCCCTTTTTGGCCTTTTTCCGGCGACATGCGGCTGAGGGGTGGGGTTGGAAGAGGAGGTTGAGGCGGTCCTGTAGGTATTGGCCTTGTGGTCGGTGGTTGTCTGTGGTGGTGGTGGCTGGTTAAAAACCAAGCCGTAAAATCATTTATTCTCTTTTTAATTCTCGATCCGTACCTTTACGGTAGGGCTGGGCACGGTACGAGATGACACGGGATGGAGGTCATCCCAGTGTCAATCCCGAATAGGGGAATCGGGATGGGATGACACAGGATGGAAGTTTTTGAAAACACGTTCAAACCATACCGGACCCAAACGAGATCGGTATGATTCGATATCAATGTTGATACCGTACAAAATCTGCAAAATTTCATAAATCAAGTGTAATACAACAAAATAAACAATCAAGATTCAAGAGTCTTGATTCAAGACCAACCAAGAAATGGAAATCTCATACAAAGTTCAAGTGAAATGGAAATCAAATCTCATATAGGCTTTTACAACAAATCAAAGCCTAATACAAACAAAACAAACAATCAATCAAGAGTTCAAGTTCAAGACATGTCAAATTACAAAGCAAGAAATGGAAATCTCACATAGGCTTTTACAAAACGAGTCAAGCCAAATTAAGTACAAACTTCAAAGCAAGAAATGGAAATCTTAAATGGCATGTCCCTTTCCCTTTGGATCAATCCCTGATGTGTTGTTGGTGGTAGCAGCTTCAGTACTTGCATATTCTGCAAAAAATAAATTCACACATATTCTTATAAACAAATGCAACATTATAAAATAATAAACAATTAAAAACCCTAAATATTTAAGATTCATGCAAACACAAAACCAAGAAGGAGGTTTATTATTTCTTCTTGCAACAGATGATGTATCAGGTGAAGATTGACAGTGAATAGACATAGTTGAAAGAGATTCATCATATTCAAGAGTTAAAAAATAAGTCATAATTCAAGGCTTTGCTTGATCACTACTGATTTCCAAAAGTCCTATCTTTGAAAATAAAATAAATTACTTTCCACCTTAATAATTAGAGTGGGAGGGGTGGAAAATTCTGTTATATATGCCTTGAATTGTTCCTGTTAACCGTGGAATATGAAGGGTGGAAGGAAAGGGCAAGAGACATGGCACATGAATTGTTCATGTTAACCCAAACCCAATCATAAAAAGCAGAATCCTTACTCTTTTTTTTTTCTTTTTAATGAAGGCATGATAAGATAATACAAGACTGATTTGCCAATTCTGATACCCAAATAACGAAAGCACTTAAAAAAGAAAAATAATCAGGAAGATCCTTCAATTAAAAAAAAAAAAGCAATTAAATTTGTTTTAAAACACAATAGACCTGCAACTTTAGAATCTTTAAATCAGCCTCAATGCGCTTCACTTTGGTCTCAGAATCAACATCCTTACCTAGCAATGAAGCAAACAACTATATAACACTCAAATCACTAGTATAAATGCTCAAGCTAAAATAAAACAAACAAAATTACCAAGTAATGTTCTTATATCTTCCCATGCCCAAAAAATATTAGCATTTCCAACACCCCAAAGCAGTGAACCATGTAGCAATTCTTAACAATTTCTCAAATTTGAAAACAAATAATTGCAAACCAAATGAGTACCTGAGAATCTGAGATCAGATTGAAATTGGTAGCAGAGCGAAACGGGTTTGAATAAGATCCGGTTCTGAAGCCGCCTCCCAAAGCTCCGCTCTACCACCAACAATACGATCTTCAACGACCCACTGATTTTTCTACACAAAAACTCAGAGACTTTGGGTTGGGACTTTCCTTTTTAACTGGTTTGGAGAAGAACAGAGAGAGAGAGAGGAGGAGGAGGAGGAGGAGAAGAAGATGAGATCGATTGATGGTGGAGGATTTGGGAATTACGGCTTCAAATCATGATTGAGAAAGGAGAAGAGAAGAGAAGAGAAGAGAAGAATTAGACATAGGAAAGGAAAGGAAAGGACGCAGAGAAACAAAGAGGAGTCGAAGAAATATCTGTGGAGAGTAGGGTAGAACTGAAATTAAATTAGGATTAATAAAACTCATGTACTGTTCAGTACGGTATGACACCAATCGGGATCACAAATGTGGAGCTGATGCCGTGCCAAACAGTAACGGGATGACACGGTATCATCCCTTTTACACGTCAACACCAAACGGGATGGCACAAGATTGGCACAGTTTGGCACAGTTTCGGGATGGTTTCGGTATTCCGGTTTTGATGCCCACCCCTACTTTACGGTGTGCGACCTTATAGGTTCTAATTAGCGAGGCCATAGGTAAGAATCACTACGAAAAAAAAGGGCCTTTAGCGACATGCAAAGTCCGTCACAAAAAAAACAAAAAAGCGTCGTAAATAGCGATTAGTGACGTCGCACGACACTTAGGGCCCGTCGTAATAACATATTGCGTCGCATTTGCGACGGTTAAAAATTGTCGCAATAAACTGAGCGTCGAATTTAAGACGCGATTTTACAACACTAGTTACAACGTGAGCTCGTGTAGCAACTAAAGTAATTGCAACAGTGCCGTTCCGTCGCTAATTCTTACACGACAAAGGAAATGCCTTTTTGGCGACAATATATACGACGGTGGCATGCGTCGTTAAAAAAGATTTAGTGATTGTATGTAGTGTCGCAATAATTATGTGACGCAATTTTAATAAATTCAGTTTTTTGAATTATTTTTGAATTTATTATTTTGCACAGCTTGCTTCAACGTAAAAAATTTAATTTGCAACACCAATGACAGTCTTAATTGACATATAAACTCTGATTTTTAATTAGAATTGACTATAAAAACTTATAAAATGGTGTTATATCTTGATCAAAAGCAAAAATAACTTCATTCATGTACTTGAAAGTATCATCTTTTGCATTAACACAAAAAAATTTAATAATTATAGAATCTCAATCTCAAGTCATATGTAAACAATACCATCTCTAGATATAAAACAAAATATTAGGATTCAAAAGTACTAAAATTAATAGAGTTCAAACTTGAAGGAGTCATCATTATCTTGTATTTCATCTTCACCCCTAACCTGAAAATAGTGACAAATACATAAATAAATGAATGGAAAAAAAAAAAACATTTTAATTTTTTTTCGAAGATAATTATCTAACCTTTTAATGAAAACAATTTCTTTTATGCCTCCAAGTCTAAATTAGGCTGCAGCTCGCTATTAACACTAAGTCTTCGTTGATGCATACTTGAGGCATCTGGAATCTATTGAGGATATAGGAAATATAAAACATTTCAAAGTTACAATAAAAACTAAGATCACTTCAAATTAAACAGTATTTATTCTTTAATAAGAGAAAGGCATTAAATATAATGTACCTGGCCGCTTCCGATTTCTTCTGGGGTGGTTTGGAAACCAAGATGAATCATTACTTGATTGAGTTGTGAGCTAACTTCATTTAACTTGGATTGGAGATCATCTATTTTTGACTGATATTGTTTCTCTAGCTCCTCTGTCATCCTATTCTCATTATTGTCAGAATTTGATTTTTGACCAAACACTTGAGATGGAGTTACACCATCCCCATACATGCGAACACGCCCATGTGCATCAATTCCCATCACTTTAGTAAATATTTCCTCTCTAAATGACTCATCTTGTTCATCTTCTACCCTTTCTTCCAAACATTGGTTGAATTGATTCTACAAAATCACACTTGCAGAATTGGTTCATTTGGCTAAAAGATAAAATTTCAAAACAACTCTATATTCAAACTTACAATAAAATCAGCACTGTCCTCGTCAAAAACTTCATCTTCATCATTTTTCTTCTTCTTTGTTCGAGTTTTGATAAACATGCTCAGACGATCAGTCTTCTCTCCTTTCTCTTTCATCTATGTAAGAAAAAAAATTTGATCTCATTAAATATATATCTAAAAAGAAGACCAATGACCAATTTGTTACATACAGCCATAGTACAAATTCTAAATATTTTGTTAGCATTATTTGCCAGCCATTCAAGATATATGCCTGAACAAAAAGGATTAGCTAATAACAATACCTATATGGTCAATGACTCTTAAGACCCCATATACTTCGCTCTTTTAAATGTACACGCTGAGAAATATTAGAGGCATAACCATCTGGAAACTTCACTCCCTTCAATACCTTAAGGAACATATATTTATTGTCCTTATTCATAGTAAAGCATGCAGGAGCTAAGTATGCTTTCTTAGAACCCTGTTGTTGAGGGTGTAATGGTTTCCTAATGCCCATTTCTTCTAAATCACGTCGAGCTTTTAAATTATCCTTTGTTTTTCCAGCAACACCCAATAAAGTCCAAAGTATATTATCACAAAAGTTTTTCTCAATGTGCATGACATCGAGATTGTGACGAATCAAATTATGCTCCCAATATGGTAACTCAAAAAATATACTTTTCTTTTTCCAAAAACATCCATTATTTATATTCTGATCTTCATCTCTTTTCCTTTTTCGAAGGTCTTCCTTGTTATACTCTGTAAGTACATCCTGCAATTGTGTTCTTACATAAGTTCCAGAAAATTTAGTGGGAGCAAGCCCCCATTCTCGCGTGCCATCAAAAGATACTCTATCTTTACGAAATTTATGATCTCTAGGTAAAAACCGACGATGACCCATATAGCAATACTTCCCTCCATGTTTCAACCAACGAGATCTAGTGTGAATGTTGCAACAAGGACATGCTTTCTCTCCTCTAGTGCTCCAACCCGATAAGTTCCCATAGGCAGGAAAGTCGTTCATAGTCCAGAACAACGCAGCATGTAGTTTAAACATTTGATTACTAGAAGCATCATAAGTAAGTATACCTTCATGCCACAATTCTTTTAGCTCATCGATTAGCGGCTGTAGAAATACATCAATCTTATTACCAGGTCCTTTAGGGCCATCAATGAGAACAGATAAAATAAAGAAAGGCTGCTTCATGCATATCCATGGTGGCAAATTATATGGAATTAGAACAACAGGCCATGTACTGTGATTTATGGACATTGTTCTAAACGGATTGAAACCATCTGAAGCTAAACCAAGCCTAACATTACGGCTGTCACTAGCAAAATATGGATTCTTCTCATCAAATGTTTTCCTTGCAGCTGTATCGGCTGGATGCCTTAGCACACCATCATTAGTACGTTCCTCTGTATGCCATTTCATAAGCGACGTTGTTTTAGAAGACATAAAAAGTCTTTGTAATCTTCGCTTTAGTAGGAAATATCTTGCTTGTTTAGCTGGTATTTTTCTATCCACAATCTGACTATTTCCAGACTCACCTTCCAGCTGTTCTTATCTAGATTCTTGGCAAATGCCACATTTTTCAAGTTTCTCATCCTTATCTCTGAATAACATACAATTGTTAGGACATGCATCCCATGTCTTGTATGTGAAATCCAATTCAACAGTTATCTTTTGAGCCTCATAATAAGAGTCTGGTAGTTCTACTCCATTAGGGAAAGCTTCTTTTAGAAAACTCAACAACAATGTCACTGACTTGTCCGTCCATCCACAAACAACTTTCATATGTAATAACCGAACAATGAAAGATAGTTTTGTGAAATTGTGTCACTAACTTGTCCGTCCATCCACAAATCACTTTCATATGTAATAACCGGACAATGAAAGACAATTTTGTGAAATTTTCGCATCCTGGATACAAAGGACGTTCTGCATCTTGTAACAATTTCAAATATCTTCTAGTTTCATCATTTGGCCCCTCACCATTTGGTCCCTCACCAATCGGCCCCTCACCATTTGGTCCTTCATCATTCAGCCCCTCACTGTGTTCATTTTCTGTTGGTCTATCATTCCCGAAAATAGAATATGCATTTGGATGCACAAATGCATCATGTATCATTCCAATCATATCATCACCAACAACAGAATCAAAAGTGACGTTAGTATCTTGGTTTGCATATAATGATAGCTGTAGTTCCCCATGTTGAGTCCAATTTTTGTACTTGGACATAAACCCATCCCATATTATATGGCCTCTTACTACATCCCTTGTGAACAAATAACGATTGTGACATTTCTTGCATGGACAATAAATCCTTGTATCATCCATATTTTTAGAAAATGCAAAATCCAAAAAATTCTCAACTCCAGTGAGATATTGCGTAGATGTTCGATCTCGTATATCTATCCAACTCTTGTCCATTCTTTTCTTTTTGTTATCCAAGAAGAAAGAAGAAATAATACCTACCAATCAATACTAGAAAATAATATTTGTAGAAACATAAAGTTGTGGGAGATAGGCAATCTGACCTTCTAAAATTTCAGCTTTTTATATCAATGTAAACCACAGCTATCGTTCTCACGAACAATTCTTTATTGAAATCTTTGAATCTGCAATAAGAAAGACAGATCGGGATGATTCTAATTGTGCAATTAAGTCCAATAACATGCAGCATATACTATTGCTTTACATCTACTTACTAAAAGGGCAAACAAGCTATGTGTTGAACAAACAAAAGGGCAAACACATCACCCACACAGAGAGAGAGAGAGAGGCATGAATGGTGCTGATATGAAGGGATAGGTGTCCATATACTGAGGAAGGGGAAATGGACGTGTACCTTGTTTTGGCTCAATGAGTCATTGGAAATTTGGAACCTCATGCCAAAAAAGAAGAAGGGAACATTGTACTTCAAGTCTGTACTATAAAAAAGAATGTTGACCGTAATACAAGTTGTGCCCCAAAAAATTCACACTATTATGCCCCTCTCCTCATACCTGTGTACTATTTTCTTAAAATAAATGTAAAGAATGCTCCTGCTTGTTATTATCTTAACTACTCACGCATATTTAACGTACTTTTCATAAAGTGGTAGAATTATAAGGGTCATTTATTTGTCTTTTGCAATGATGTGAAGACATCATCATTTGTCTTTAATTAATGATGCTGTTTTTTGCAATGATAGGAAGAAATCTCATTTTTTCCTTATTCCCTTCATCCCAGATCCACTACCATCTCTCTGCACTTCATTTTTCCTTATTCCCTTAACTAGAGAATGGAAAGACTTGTCTGTTTGTGACAATGAAGACAAAAATACTTAACGAGAGTGTCTCTTTGCTCTCATCCCAAAGTAGTGGACAGACAATATGCAAAATTATATATGTAAAACAAGAAAACTACTGTAAAAGTCCCAAAAGGTCCCCCATTATGTACAGAAAATGATTCTCTTCTCTTTTTCTTTTTTTTTCCTTTCGGTTTTCCTTTTTCAATCTTTCAAATCCCTTTTCTTCTTTTTTTTTCCTTTCGGTTTTCCTTTTTCAAATTTAGAAGAATGAAGATGTTTGATGAGTCTGACCTCCACAGGACATGGGTACAATCAATTCAATACTATTTTAATGCCCAACTTGGAAACCATCGGCAGAGAGACACGTGTATAGCAATCTTTGTAAGAAGAAATCAGGTGTTGTGTTGTGTGTGCAGAAGTCTTTCTTTGGCTAGCCATCACGTGGGTTGGTATGTGGTCATTAATTGAAGGTGGCTGGCCTTCCCTTGATGGAAATTGCATAGGATTGCATTTTTGACTACCCCTGTTACAATCTATGCACTTTTCTTTCACGCCTTTTCATAAAAAATGGGGCATCAATGCCTTTTCTTAATTATGTTTCTATCTGTTTCTCTTCTTTTCTTTTCTTTTTTTCTTGCATGTCCCTATCCAATCTGACACGTTTTCTAACTTCGCATTTCACAGTCAAAAATAGAAATTCCCTGCAACTCTTAATTTACAAAAACTATATGTTCTCTACACTATTCAAATTCAGTCCACACTCTTTCACAACTAAGTGTTAAAACAGGCTGCATTAAAAAAAACAAAAAAACAACATTTTTTTTTTCTCTTCTTCTTCTTCATCCTCTTCCTCATATTCTTCATCATCATCTCGCCATGCTTCATAATTCCACCAAAGGAGCCTTTAGTTTTGCGCTCTGAATATTCTCTTCCGGATTTTCACGCACCGCTTCTTCGTCATCTCCGCGTTTTCGTTTACTCGGTTGCTCTGAGGCCGTTGGCTGTTTTTGCGTTTCTTTAGCATAAAAAGTTACCAGTTTGGATAACTTTTCATTTTTTGCATGCAAAAACTCGAGCTGGCGTCGGTGCTCCTCTTCCCTTTTTGCCCCATCCTTCTTCAATCTTATGTTGTTGTGCTGATATTCATCAACCAATTTTTGCTTTGCCATCAACTGAGCTTTTAGAAATTGCGTTTCATGAGTTTTTGCAATGAGGCGATGCCCCACACTTGCGATACATGTAGCACTCTGCACGCCCATTGCCACGACATCACTCACTAGGCGGTTATCATCTCTCATTCTCAGTATGCGCACATCTCTGGGAGTCACCAGACTCCTCGCAACTCCAATGGCAACATCGTTGTCAAGGAGTAACGAGTCATTGACGGTCACGGGTCCTTGTGAGGACGCAAAATAGGGCGCCCAGACTGGTGCAAGTGATTGCACCCTTGTCTGTGTTGGCGGAGCTATTAAGATCCAAAGAAGAGTGGAAGGAATAAGACATTATCTCTACTTTGCTTTCTCTCTTTCTTCTTTGCTTTCTCTCTTTCTTCTTTGCTCTCTCTCTCTCTCTCTCTCTCTCTTATAGTTTAGAGAAACCCTAGCAATTAAAGCTTCAACCGTCCCCAAACCATTTGTCGCGACGTGCACGAACGCGTTCAAGAAGTCGTCTCTACTTTACTTTCCATGACGTTGTAATTGTCTCTACTTTCCATGACGCCGTAATTGTCTCTACTTTCCATGACGCTGTAATATCTGTGATTGTACCATAAGCTTGCTAAGCCTTGGGATCAAAATCAAAATCTTTAAGCTCTCTGGATATGATCAACACCAAATTCAGCAGCAACAACCCTGAGGGCGGTTTCGGTGACCAAGATCCTCGCCCGAAAAAGACGCATCACCGCCACACTCAACATCAGATCCAAGAAATGGAAGCGTGAGTAGTATTTAAGCGTTAATGAGTTCATAATGGTCCTTTTTTTTAAACAAAAAATTAACCTTGAATTAATGTTCTAGTTTTTTTTCTTGGGATATTATTATTTAGTTTATTCAAGGAGTGTCCCTGCCCAAAACCCAAGCAGAGGAAGGAACTAAGCCGGGAATTAGGTTTGGAACCATTCCAAGTGAAATGGTGGTTTCAAAATAAGCGCAACCATATGAAGGTATATGATGTTTTGTTCATGACACGTTTTTAATTAAAATGGGTTTGTGAAAATATACAACTTTGTTTTATTTATTTTTCCTTTTTGACAGACTCAGCTAGAGAACACACAACTTCGTAATGAAAATGAAAAGCTTCGTGCCGATAACATGAGGTACAGAGAAGCCCTAGGCAGTGCCTCTTGCCCCAATTGCGGTGGCCCGACAGCTATCGGAGAGATGATAATCGAGAATGCAGTGGCAGCCATGGAAGAGCTAATCAGAATGGCTCAAATGGGTGAACCCTTGTGGATGACCAGCCTTGATGGCAACACCACTGTGTTCAATGAAGACGAGTACATCAGAACATTCCCTCGTGTTGCTCCAAAACCAAACAATCATTTCAAATGTGAAGCTTCGGGCGAGAGCGCTGTTTTTGTCATGAACCACATCAACCTTGTTGAGATTCTCATGGATGTGGTAACCTTATTTACTTGTGTCATCAACATTGAACAAATTTGCTATATCTAGATCTACTAATTTGCTGAAATTTCAAATTCAATGTGATTGTTTATTTGTAAATTTTTTCATGTTTGCAATTTTGGGGTGTAACTTGCTTCAATGAAAAAAAAATTTGGAGTTTGTGAACTCATGAGGAATTGAACTCTGGTCAGGAGTTTGGAGACAAGGCTCAAACACCACTGGACTGATGCATCTTCTTGTCGAATAACCATACAAATGTAGTATTTATTACAATCTAACCGTCCCACAAACTCTTGTTTTCTTTTTCTTTTCTCCCAGCCGTCATCATTTTTTCCTTCTTTCGTTCTTCTCTCCATCTTCTTCCGTTTTTCTTTTCTTCTTTTCTTCTTCTTTTCTTTTTCTTTTCTCCCAACCGTCATCATTCCTTTCCCTCTTTCTTCTCTTCTCTCCATCTCTCCATCTTCTGCATTTGCTTTTTCTTCTTTTCTCCCAGCCATCATTTCTTCTTTCTTCTCTCTTCTCTCTCCATCTTTTTCTTATTTCTTCCCCGCTGGCTGCATTTTCTTCTTCTGTGACGGTATATGCGTATCAAGGGTATATAGCCTGCCTATATGGGCCAAGAATTTGGCACTTGTGTCATCAACATTGAACAAATATTAATTATGTCTTTAAATAGAGGAATAACACATAAACCCTAATCATTTTTTGTTTTACTTATCTTCTTGTTTAGAATCAATGGTCGACTGTGTTTTCTGGGATTGTGTCGAGAGCTATGACTCTGGAAGTGCTATCAACTGGAGTGGCTGGAAATTACAATGGAGCCTTGCAAGTGGTATAATATATATCTACTTTCACAATTCTATTATCTTCTCCCTGGAATCTCAAATATTTTTAATAACATTATCTTGTCGTGGTTAATTATATGTTCGGGTTGACTATATTATTTGTGATTTGGTAGATGACTGCAGAATTTCAAGTACCCTCATCGCTTGTTCCAACTCGTGAGAGTTATTATGTGAGGTACTGCAAACAGCATGCTGATGGCACTTGGGCTGTGGTTGATGACTCCTTGGACACTCTGCACCTTAATCCTGCACCAAGGTCATGCCAAAGAAGACCCTCTGGATGTCTCATCCAAGAAATGCCAAATGGATACTCAAAGGTAATGTAATTAATAATTAAACACACTATGTATTTAACTCTGATTCATATTTGACTTGCATCATGTATTTAACTCATTACATTATTTGTCATTTAATTTTAAAACTTTTGGTGCTTTAGGTTACATGGGTTGAGCATGTCGATGTGGATGAACGTGGTGTTCACAATCTGTACAAGCAGCTGGTTAACTCTGGCAACACATTTGGGGTGAGACGATGGGTCGCTACCTTGGACCGTCAATGTGAACGTCTTGCCAGTTCCCTGGCATCAAACATCCCTACTGGTGATGTTGGTGGTAAGAACAATATAATTTACAGTGTAAACATTTTTTTTTCTGTATATATGGTGAGAAAATTTTGTGTGGGGCTATTCTTCTACGTTGTAGTATTGTCTAACACGAGAGACGTCCTCTTAAAAGATTGCATGTGTCTAATATAGCATGTTGTGCACGCACATGGATTCATTAATTAAGCCTTTTTTTTTTTAAATGCATGATTAATTAGTGATTACAAATCAAGAAGGCAGAAAAAGTCTGTGAAAATTGGCTGAAAGGATGGTCATAAGCTTCTGTGCTGGAGTAAGCGCTTCAACCACTCACACATGGACAACACTGTCTGGGACAGGGGCTGATGATGTTCAAGTGATGACCCGAAACAGCGTGGATGATCCTGGCAGGCCTCCCGGTATTGTGCTCAGCGTCGCCACATCTTTCTGGCTTCCAGTTCCTCCCAAAAGGGTATTTGAATTCCTCCGTGATGAGAACTCTCGTAATGAGGTACGTGAATTAATTATCCTTCAAATTCTTAGGATGATCTATCAGATCTAATACATTAACCAAATTATTCATGAAATACAAGAATGAAAATGGTTCGACTAATTACTTGAGCTTCACCAGTGGGACATTTTTTCCAATGGTGGAATTGTTCAAGAAATGGCACACATTGCTAATGGTAGCGACACTGGAAATTGCGTGTCTCTACTGCGAGTAAATGTAGCTCTCTCTTATTGTTATTATTATTTTAATTTTCTTAATTATTCCATATTCTGCTCCTAAGCACAATTGATGAATTACTAACCTTGCCCTTTTCAAAAATGAACTTAATTTTATAGAGTGCGAATTCAAGCCAAAGCAACATGCTGATATTGCAAGAGAGCTGCACAGACAAAACAACTTCTTTTGTGATTTATGCTCCAGTGGACATTGTTGCCATGAATGTGGTACTAATTGGGAGTGACCCTGACTATGTTGCTCTTCTTCCTTCTGGCTTTGCCATCCTTCCAGATGGAGGAGGCATGGGGGATTCTGGCTCTGGTGGTTCCCTTCTCACTGTTGCCTTTCAAATTCTGGTTGATTCTGGCCTGACCGCCAAGCTCTCTCTCGGGTCGGTGGCAACAGTTACCAATCTGATTGCTTGCAATGTTGAGAGGATCAAAGCTGCATTGTCTTCCTTGTTTCAAAATTTGGTCGTTTGGTTCTTGTGAAAAATATTCTATCATTGTAGTTTGGCCCGGTTTGGTGCGGTTTGTCTGGCTCTGGTGGTTCCCTTCTCACTGTTGCCTTTCAAATTCTGGTTGATTCTGGCCTGACCGCCAAGCTCTCTCTCGGGTCGGTGGCAACAGTTACCAATCTGATTGCTTGCACTGTTGAGAGGATCAAAGCTGCATTGTCTTCCAACACTGCATGAATTTCATGACATAACTTCAGTTAATTTTTATGTATTTAGTGATTTTCCTTGTTTCAAAATTTGGTCGTTTGGTTCTTGTGAAAAATATTCTATCATTGTAGTTTGGCCCGGTTTGGTGCGGTTTG